AAGGATTAAAGAATATTAAAAAATAGATTAAAATGGAGAGATAAAGGAACGTCATCTTTCTGTTTTTCGATTTTATTTTTAAAGGGGAGCAACCCTTGATACACACCGGAAAATTTTCACCCCTTTTTGTATCCAAATTATTAAAATCTGAACACGACTGAACTCGATCTGACAATATCTGAACGTAAATTTGTATACATGGTCTGATTTCATCTGAAACCGCCTTAACAGATCTAAAACGCTCGCTAGAACATTCCGCTTTATTCATTTTGACATGCCTGAACGGACTAAATTACCTGCTGTACGTGACTATCGATCAGAACGGCATTTGAAAGTCTGAAAAAGTCTTGACGTTTTGTTCTTGCGTTAAATTCAATCGATTGAGACTTGATCAGACCAAAATGACCGTTTGAAACTGAAATCTTGTTACCAGTGTTTTGCTTGACCGACTGTGACTTATCACCATTTTTTATTTCCAGTAAATAACACGACGGTTGTCACTTTTGAAACAGGAACTGCTCTTCATCGGGGTTCACCCTTGTTAACCTTTGTTTTTTTTAGTGTGTGTATTGTTCAACGTTTATTTTTCTGTGTAAATATTAAAATCTATATTCTACTTCGCTAGATATGTAATTCAATCAATTCAGAGATTACGACCTCTAATGTTCAATAACGATGGATGAATTTAATGACAGGAAAAAAATATCCCATATATGAAACCGAATCCGTTTCATTACAAATTTCTCAAACCGTTTATTATAATCATCAAGTGTCCTAAAGCCTATTCAACTTGAAGAAAATTTAGAAATGGAAGACAAAATATGAACGTGATTAACACAAGTTATTTTTTCCTTCGGTTGATTAACAACATTCAATTTTCCAACGGTCATCTTATTGTGCATGTAAAAAGAAATCTAGTGGAATGTGTTGTAAATGCATTTTTAAGAACTACAATAAATAGACAAAAGATAAACGTGTCTTTGCTAGAGTAGTTATTATATATTTTTTTTATTTGACTCTATAAACGTAACTGCAGCAATCTCTTTATCATGTGAAAGGGAAGATGCTTGAAAAAGTAAAATAACAAAAATACCGAACTCCACAAAAAATCAAAAGCTTAAACACATCAAACGAATGGAAAACAACTATCATATTCCTGACTTGGTATTTCCTGCAAAAGACATACTACTATATACTATGTACTGAAGACGTTAAAGTTGAATTAACCTTAACTTATACCACCTGTATATATAGAAATGAAAAAAATATATGGGCATACATTTTTGTATTACATCACTTTACTATTTGTTTGTCACAATTTGGTTAGGAAGAGGTTGTACTTAAGTGCGCTGCAACTCGTACTTGAAACTTTTAATAATTGCACAATACACAGCTAATGAGGTAACACTTGTTTCTAAGAACAACTTTTTCTCATTCAATTAATAAAAACATCCATATCGTCACACGTCTGTTGGGATATAACAATTTTTTTCGAACATCCATTTTGTTAAGTTTAATTTAGGACTTCGTTTATACTTATTATTGAGTTTTTCACAGACAGAACAATACATAGACTGCAAACCCTCCTTTCGTGTATGTCCTTTGAAAAAAATCTTATCTTTTGCTTTCAAATAATTAGTGTATGTACTTTCATTATTTCCTACATTTGTCATGTACAAAGCAAGTTGTGTAGGCGAACTAAAATCTAATGAAGATATAAAGGTGTCGTGTGGTAAAATGTCCTTTATATTTCGGGCTCCTCGGTAAACGGGAATAATGTCAAAACCGTCTTGATATAGTCGGAATATCTTTTCAGTAACATAGTCATTACATATTGAATTTTCAAACGCCAAGTAAAACTTGTAATCTTTACTTAAATCCTTAAAGCATTTGTCACTATTCCAAGAAGAGGAACATTTTTTACCGCAGTTCCCATATATATCTATTTGTATGGTTTGCATCATTTCCTTAATATACTGGTACCTCTTTGAAACGGATTTACAGTTGCTTACTACCCAGGCAACATTCTTTGACTTTTCTCGGAAAAGACTCGTATAATTTTTTTCACGTTGTATGTGTCTCCTGTCCGGTAACCCATACGGATAAGATATATCAGCATCCGATCTGTAGCTATATACCCAATCAAATTTATTGTCCCATCCTTTTTTCAAAAAGTGCTTTGCTGTATGTATTTCAGATTCATATGACGTGAATACCCATATTTGACCGGATGTTTTATTTGGAACCTTTATATTCATCTCTGTGTGATGAAATAATATTGCATCACATGTGCCATGCGTAGTGTCATCTGATGATTCACGGACTATGCAATTCCTAAACGCACAATTTCTAAATTCATATGAAAGGATATCTTTTGGAGCCCAGAATGGTTTTGTGTGCCACATCATTGAATAAACTTGGTTAATATTTGTATCTCCTTTACCTGTGTTTATATTCTCAATTGAATGTGTTATTTCCCCCTCTGTCGTAGATAGTTTTATGAACTCTGACTTATCATATTGTCTCAGAATTTTATTATATTTTCCTTCAGCTAACTTTGCGGTGAAGTTTAAAGTTTTAAGACTGGCATCATCGAAATATACGTAAATCAGACGGATTAAAGTTAAAGTTGTTGTAAATATACATATTCCAAAGTACTTTTTAATTGTTCTGTTGTTTGTGAACTGCATCTTAAGGGCCCCTACAATATATCAAAGTCATACTTTTTTAAATAGTTGTTTACCAAAAAAAACATCAAATTAAGATATAATCACTATTAAATGAAATTAAGTCTTGAACGGTAACTTTAATCTTAACAGTAATTGAAACAATAAATTATTCTGTCACATTCAGCTTTTCAGACTTAAACTGTTATATAAACTGTTCAAGCAATTCGCTTGAGGTCAATCCAGTACTGTTCAGTAGCATCTCAGACAATTCAGTATGATGTTAATGTGTACTGGTAAATAGCAGCTACGGAATAGTCTGAACATAGACTGAACATATCGTAATTGAACTGAAACGAAATGTTTGAACAGTACTGAATTTAACGCAGTGCATAAGTCTGTAAAATGACTGAAAAATTGAAAATGACGTATAATTTTTTGTTCAGTCTTTTAAGAGCTGTTCAGATCAAAATGACCGTTGGAACAGATCAAAATTGGTTTACTAGCGAATGCTTTGGATTAATTCCTTATTTAGGCGTAAATCAATATATTAAATATATAAATGCCTAAGAATTAACTTAAACAATGAGTGTTATAAAATAGTTGTTACATTTTATTTATTCACGCAATATTTCGCTAAACAAATTATCTTCATCGGGCGCGTGCAGACATCCAGGTAAAATCGGATGCTGTTCAGAAATTTTTACAGTTTATCGTACATGTACTTTAAAGTTAGTTTTGCAGATTATTGTACATTAGCGTGTTAAAGTTACATTCTTAGGCATTTTTATAATTTATTTTAGTAACTGCATCAGTTTATCTTCAAACTGATCCACGCCTAGACAGATTGAATGTTGATTGTTGCTATTTTTAGACACTATATACATATAAATGTTATATATTTATATATATCGTGTATGACAAACACGTTAAAATATCCATGAAATAAACCCCCTTGTGACGTAATGTAACAAATATTACTTGTTTAGTATATTAAAAAGTAAAATCACAAAAATACCGAAATCCGAGGAAAATTCAAAACGGAAAGTTTCTAATCAAATGGCAAAATCAAAAGCTCAAACACATCAAACGATATATAACAACTGTCATATTCCTGACCTGGTACAGGCATTTTCTAATGTAGAAAATGGTGGATTAAACCTGGTTTTATAGCTGGCTAAACCTCTCACTTAAACGGTTATATGCACCCGTGATATATGTACAAATAACAAACTAATGTGAACAATCATGTAGCATGTTACACGAACTCGTCTTCAACAAATTTGTGATATTCAACACTGTGTTTTTGCAAATTTATTGTAGTAAAAGACATTACAATTTGCAAACAATAGAACAATGCTAAAATTGATGTCTGTATGGTCCTATTTCAAAATTATTTCGTTTGGATCTTCATATTTTTTGTTGACTGAATTTGAATAAGAACCATAGAGCTACGGTTCCGCGGCTAACTGGCATATGGGTTTTACAAATAGTTCTAAAACAACTTATCCCGATTAATGGGTCTGGACAAGTCAAAAATGTATCTGAAGCAAATAGATAACACATAGGATGATTGACCATTTTCAAAACATAGATGAAAAAGGATATGATTGTCATTTGATACAAACACAAAGCCTCTGACATGATGAAAAGTGGATTGAATTTGGTTGGTCGGATAATGTTTCAAACAAGTTTTCAGACAACTGTTGTTGATGTGTTCAACTGTTATTCAAGGGGCTTACGCATGTATTAAATAATATCGCTTTAAATGAAATTATTTATCGATTCCGATATCTCTTGGACAATGATGTCTTACAGCTTTCTTTTTATATGTTTTACAAGGAATTTTTGGCCTGTGCATTAAGGCAGAACACGACATTTCATGCTTTATACTGTTTGACGTAGAGATTTTAGAAAATTAAATCAAAATCAAATGCGTAAGCAGACAACACACAATTGTACAATGCAGTACAAAGTAAAATAACAAAGGGAAATTCAAAACGGAAAGGTCTTTATAAACTGGCAAAATTAAAAGCTCAAACACATCTAACGAATGCAAAACAACTGTCATATTCCTGACTTGGTCTTTGATTTCCTTATGAAGAAAATGGTGGATTAAACCTAGTTTTATAGCTAGCTAAACCTCTCACTTGTATGAGTCGCATAGAATTATGGTAGACAATCATTTGAAATATGAACAGAAAATATCAAAATTCTTCACTATATTACGAAAAAAAATGTTTGGAGTCAAATAGTAGCGCATACAAAACATACAAATATTTAAAAATATGTATTTACAAGTAAAAAATAAAAATAAAATCGCTAGGTAATTACCTTGGTTATAACAACGACAACATATGTAGATTAATAGTTGAAAAGATGCATTCGAAAAGAGTTAATCTTTACTACATATTAATCGATTGTATTCTGCCAACGCATCCGGTAATACTCCTTTTGGAGATCATGTGATTCCCTTAGTTTTATTTCTTACCTTGATTCGTCTATCCGTAGTCGATTTATGATATTTTCATTATCTATCACGAGAACAGTTTTAAATAATTCTCGAATTCCTGAATGATGACACACGAATTATTCTGCAGTATATGTTTGTCAATAAACATATGGCGTTATTAATTATATTTACAATGATCGTTTTTAAGTTATGTTATCATACATTTATGTCCTATTACTTTGTGAACAGCATTTTTTTACATAAAATCGAGAATGGAAACGGGGAATGTGTCATAGAGACAACAACCTAACCAAAGAGCAAAAAACAGCCCAAAGCCCCTAATTGGTCTCCAACGCAGTGAGAAAATCCCGCACCCGGATAACAATGATTAGAAAAGTTCCTGTTTTTCAACCCAAGAGGCTTGCCAGTGTAAACCAGTAGTAATGATCTAAGAAATGCTTTATGGGCCAGTGATGTGCATAAACTTATCTTCTGCTCACGCTCTAACCGGATAAGACACGGCGAATTGTTCGGCTTTGCCATAAGGATAGTTCTAGCTATAAAACCAGGTTTAATCCACCATTTTCTACATAAGAAAAATGCCTGTACCAAGTCAGGAATATGACAGTTGTTATCCATTCGTTTGATGTGTTTGAACTTTTGATTTTGCCATTTGATTATGGACTTTCCTTTTTGAATTTTCATTGGAGTTCAGTATTTTTGTGATTTTAATTTCCATTTTTTGGAAGGCGTAGGAAAATCCCATATACGTATCCCGATTTATTTGGTTCAGATATGGATCGATTATCGGCTTTCTGCACATTGATATCGTAAAATATCAGCCTCAAGCCACAATATTAACCTTTTTGGTGAGTGAACTTGTATAAGTAACCATTATGTTGCGTAATGATTTAATTGAACCTCAGAACAAACATGATAAAACTCTTATTCATATATTTCATCAATGTAACTGTTTAACCATTGACCAAACCATTGCAAAAGCGTTGAACGATGTTACGAAAAAGAAATTTAATGAATACAGAGATATAAGATATAATTTTATAGCAACACAATATTTACCACACAAAAGCACGTAATTTATCTAAAACCTCCAAAGAATTTTTAACACTCCAAAAATAATTAATACCATTATTTTCATAAACTTTATTACAAAAGTTAATAAAAAGTTCTTTGATAGTAGTAAAGGAGGTAGTTAGAAGCACTGAAAGATTATTAGTAGAACACTTACTAGATTATGAGATGAAACGAAATTTAAATGTTTTTTTGTGTAATTTAGGTAACCAGTATATGGTGGGGACTTTTAGATGTTCGGAAGAGGCTTTAAGCTGGGTAGTTGCAGTGATATGCTTATTTACAATTTGACTATCTGTGGAGCGTACAGACCTGAATGTAGAAGAATTAATGATTTCGTTCTGGAGAACTTCCGTGTAGTATTTGCGTCACACCACCACTACATTATTGGCTGCTTTGTCTGCCGGTACGAACACAAGCCGCTTTGCGAGTACTTGGAGTTTATTTTTTATTCTAGAAATGGGCATATCATTAACCCTATTATTAATTTTCAGAATTGATTTCAAAATGAGATATACGAATATCAACAGTTTTCATAATTTTATTCAAATAACTATCTAGAGATTTTTTATCAGATTTTTCACGTTTACACCAATTTTTACAGTAGGCAGACAGAGCGTCTTTAATGACCTCACGACATTGTTTCCAATCTATAGTAGATGGAGGACGATATTTAGGTCCTTTGCTGAGGTCTCCTGTAATGACATGACCATAGGGAACATATCTAAAATTAGATGTTTCACAGTCTCAAGTGAAAGGAGCATTGTTTTCTATATCGACGTCTGATGTAACTGACGTATAATTAAAAATCAAACTTCTGCTAGTTTTTTTGTATGAATACGAAATAATATGTGGTTCTGTATTATCAAAATATGGAGGTATCTGGCTCATTGAATATACTAGATCAGTTAATAAAATCAAAACCTTTATTTATATATTTTAATTTAAGAAAATGCCGTTTATGATTTTCAGGTTTATCGATACTAGGAAACAACCTGTGATGACAAAAGGCTGTAATAATACAGACGTATTCATACAACGGGCTGAAAAAAGAAATTTTATCACAATCCAGAAAAATATTATATAGTTTACTTATTGGTATATGGCCAAGTTTGCATTATAATTGATGTCTAATATTATTTATTATTATAGATAGCAGATCATCTAGTGTATAATTTATACGATGTTTAATACGTAGATTACGATTTTTACGTTTACCATGAAACTTTTTGTTTCGTAGCCTTTTATCGACAATATTCACGACATCAAAAGAAGTTTTAGTTATGTTCCCTTGTCACAATATTTTGTCATTGAGACCGAGAGGATAAGCTGTTTGAAGTCTTTTCATCCAAAATAGTTCGCGAACTTCACGGGATTTTTCAAATTGTTTATCTATTTCTTTTCATCAATAGTCTTCAAATAACTTTAAAAAAGGCCTACACAAACAAGCACAGACCGAATCAGCAGGAGTTAGTCATTTATTTTAAGAAATTTATTAATTCTTCGTATCGATTGACCTGTTTTTCTTTGACACAAAACGCAATTCATAACTAACGGAGCCAACAACATATGTATCAAATCATAATTGTGGTTGTTAAGTGGAAAAATGGTTCTATCTAAAATCATTGGCAACGGAATATGTGTGTTTAAAGCATCTGGCTTAATTTTTTGGCACCGAACGAATAGAGATGATTTGGCAACGGCCTACTTGTGCTTATTATAATCATTTAAGAATTGAATGATTCTTTTTGTTATTTTATTTAAGTGTAAAAGCATTGACCGAAACACAATTTGTACGAAACGTGGAAGCACTTCCTCCTAAAAATGTGCGGTCGATCAACGCTATGACACCCTTATAAAATTACTAAAAGAAGCATTCAACTCTGATAATTACATTATAATTCTAATGTATTTTGAACTTGGAAATTATGAGTAAAATCAAACTTTATTTGTTTTTCTTTGCATTGCGTAACGATTTTAGTTCTTTCTGTGAGGTCCGCGTTCGGAGCGGCGATGTGTAGAACAATGGAGATAACTGTGCGTTTTATTTTTCCAAGGAAAATAATTTTCACCGTTTAAGATGTCGGTTGTGATTTTCATGCGGTGTTTTTATGGCTCATCAGAACACGGCTCTCCAATAGCGTTAAGATGTTAATTTCATAACGGGATAAGTTGTTGCTCCTGAAGCTCAAATGGTGCTTATTTCACTCTTTTGAAGGTCTTGCTCCTGCTGCTGCTGCTGCTGCTGCTGCTGCTGCTGGGAGGGTTTTTGCTGCTGTTGCCGTGGTTGTTGTTGCTGAAGAGTCTTATAAAGTTGTTTTTTTATGAAGGGTTTTCACTGTTTTTGCAGCTGTTGTCATATTCATTTATTCTTATGAGGGCCTCTGCTGCTGCTGCTGTTGTTGCTGAAGAGTCATTTAAATGTGTTTTCATGAAGAGTTTTCGCTGCACTTACAGGTCGTGTCGTGCTCAATTTACTCTTATCAGGCTTTTTTTCTTCTGCTGCTGCTGCCGCTGCTGCTGGTGGAGAGGGTTTTGATGCTGCTGCCGCTGCTTTGATGAAAAGTCATACAAGGGCTTTCTATGAAGGGTTTTCGCGGCTCCTGCAGCTCAATTCACTCTTTTGAGGTTTATTTCTGCTGCAGTTACTGCTAGGGGTAAGGTTTTTTTTTCTGTTGTTGCTGCTGTTGCTGAAAAGTCATATAAAGGTTTTGTCATAAAGGATTTTTGCTGCTCCTCAAATCGTGCTCATTTCATTCTAATGATGTTCTGCTGCTGCTTTGGTTGAGAATATATCAACTGCTGCTGCTGCTGAAGGATCAGATAAAGGTGTTTCCATGAAAGATTTTTTGCTGTTCCTGCAGCTCAAGTCATGATAATTTTAGTTATTTCATTGGTTTTGCTGCTGTTGCTGCTGCGGGAGGGGTTTGCTGCTGCTGCTGCTGCTACTGCTTAAGGATCAGATTAAAGATCGTGATGGGGATTAAACTGCTCATGAAGCTTTTACTCTTAACATTTATTTTTCTCTATATGCTCGCGTCTGCTTTAGATATTTTTTGAGATACTTACAGCTGCTCTCGATATATAAGCTACAATACTGATATTTCCTCAGTCAGGTGTGCTCAAAACATTTTTGTCATAATCTACGAATAACCATTCTCGCGTTTTTTTTTTCTCTCTTTTATTCACGTTTCAAAGGGAGATAACTTTGTTTTCCCGCAATTTTCATTCACAGGAAGTGACGTCATATTAATCACATGGCAGGAAGTAATGTCAAAGGGATAATGTAACAGGAAGTTATCTTTGGAACGGAAGTGAAGTCACAATAATTGACCTCTGAAGTAAATCAATTATGTTGTTAGCAGTATCCACTAAAAACTGGGAGTGAAATCAGGTGCTCCGGAAGAGTTAGCATTTCCTGCACCGTATACGGCACCCGTCGTGTTATTTCTTTGTCCAGTCCGATAATGATGGAAGGTAATTTATGACTGAGGAAGAATATCAGATATAATTTCTGATACACTTTTGTCATAATGGCCAATCAGCTCATGATGGCGACAATAAAATTTCTTGAGTGCTGACCTTAATTTGACTGATTCATAGCCCTGTCCAAGTAATTATTGAGAAAGCAGTATTCCTCGTTCAACAAAATTAACATACCTAGAACTAGCTCTAGAGTAACGTATCAATTGAGACACATATACTCCATAGGCTGGTGACGCTGGGATGTTGCTACTCAGAAATGAAAAGTTGACTATAGGAAAATTAAAGTCATCGCGTTTGTCATAAATTTTGGTTTTTAACCTACCATCAGTAGTAATTTCAAGAAAAAGGTCTAAATGTGAAGCAGATTTATCTGTGTCGGTAGCATATTTAATTTCAAGTTCACATCTGATTAACACCAC